CCGCTTTCTCCTCTGACGCAACCACCAGATTGCCCAGCGTATCCTGCAGGGGTCCCACATTACCTGGCGCCTTCTTCATCCTCCCAATATATTTGGGAGGATGAAGAAGCATTTGTTTCTGTCAGTTCATGCTGGAAATCTTAAAATCAGAAGTGGCAGAAAAGCAAATAGATATATTTTTTAAAACCTTGCCTGATACAGATAAGCAAAACCCAAAACAGTCAGAGCCAGACCCAAGGTGCACTTTTCCAATCCTGTTGTGATGTTATAACAGGAGACCCGAGATGGTGGCCACAAAACCACCCTGGGAACCACTGAGCAGTGGTTGATTTTAGGGTTGTTGTATCAAACTTCCTAAGAGGTCTTTTGGTTTGGAGCTGGTTGGTTGGTTGGTTTGTGGGGTGCAATGGGAATGGATATAATCACATTAGTGCGGGTTAAAAAAAGCCTAAGAAACATGAGCAGGGGAAGGAGAAAAATCCCTGGGAAAGAAAGCTGGGTGTGGAAGAAAAGCCTCATGACGGTTCTGTCAGATCCGCAGCGTGGCACCATGACTCAGAGTTTAAACCTGTCTCTGTTCCAACAGGGTGGATTCGAATGCTCATAAAAAGAACTTGATCCTGAAGTCCTGCCAGGGGGTGAATATCGTGGAAGTCCTTCACTACCACCAGTGCGACTCCAAGTCATCCACAAAATCAGAGCATCTCAAGTGCTTGCTGAACTTGCAGGTGCAGCACATCAGTGCCAGGTTTGCAGTGTATCTCACAGGTAAGAAATTTGTTCGGGATGTTAGTGCAGTGTCTGCCGCTGTGTGCTTAACCTCAAGACTGAGCCAGGCTACGTGCTTATTCTGAGCACGCACTATGCCCACTCGATATCAACATCAGCTAACAAAATAGCTAACCTTATTTTGCACCTTATTAATGCGCTCCCCTTTTTCTCAAAACCACTTAGGTCCCCCTATTAGCAGCCTTGAAATGAACAGGTTCTAGTCAGTTCAGGGCCTTCGAAGCCTTGAAATTAATGGCTGCTAGTCAGTGAGCGACGAGCACCTGTTGGGGGAGGAGGCAGGGTGGGAGGGTTCAGGTTAAGAGTGAGAGGCCATGCTGAGGAAATAAGGTCATACTGAGGAAATGGGGTCAGAATTGGGGTCATGATGAGGAAAAGTTTGGGAAGCACTGATCTACACGTGCAGACACTGCGCAGTAAATTCGTCTACTCCGCAGTTAATTTACCACCTGCAAATGCAGGTAGCAAATGAATTGCAGAGTAGTTGCTGCACAATAAGGCACATGTAGACAGCTGACCTGGAGCAAATTTGCTCCCAGGCAGCGGAGAGTGGGAGATTGCTCCCTGCCTGCAGGAGCTGCCTGCTGCTGGGGCAGGGGGAAACTGTCCCAGCACAGGCTCTACCACCAGAGCCCATCCTAGTAGCAGGTAGCTCCTGGGGGCAGGGAGCAATCTCAGCCCCCACTCTGACCACAGAGTTGAGGCTGGGAGCTCTCTGCTGCCAGGGCAGGGGCACATTGTCCCAGCCCAGGCTCTGCCATCAGAGCCCACCCTGGCAGCAGGCAGCTCCCAGGGGCAGCAAGCAGTCTTCTGTCCCTGTGCTCCCTGCTAGCCACTGGGCTAGCACCCAAGGGGAGCCTGGGTCTCCCCCTGGCTGCTGCAGGGAGGCAGAGCAGGGTGGAAGTTGCTGTCTCTATGTTGCTCCCATTGGGAGCAAATCTGCTCCCAAATGCCTGCACATGTAGATGCCTGCCCAGGATGGGTTTACTCTGCAGTAAATTACTGCAGAATAAACCCATCTAGCAGCATTTGCATGTTTAGGCACACCCACTTTCACCAATAATGCACTGGTTTCACCAGTTAAACAGAGTGCAGTTATGTTATGAAGTAGGACCCTGCCACACATTCAAATTAAAGCAGGCTAGAAACCAACTATGAAGTTGCATATTTTTCAAGCACTACCTTTGTCGCTGGTCCGCTCTTTTTATAGCAGGACCGACATCTTTATGGCGTGATAATTACTTTACACATATGGCCTGTCTAAATTTTTGTGCAATTACCCAGTTAATTGTGTGATAATGACTACACCTGTGGCTGGTCTCACTCTGCACATGTGGCCTGTCTTATTGCGCAATTAACCATGTAACACGTGGCACGGGCCCAAAGGATTCTGAGTCATTTGAGTGGGTTAGGTGCTCCGCCCGGGTTGATCACAGAGTAAGCGCTAGGCCAGCTGTCAGGACTGGTGTTGTGCAGTGCAGCTCCACGAATGACACTTACCCACAGCACGTATAAGAGCAATAGGCTGTTGGTTGTATGGTACCATCCTTATGCCCCAGTCAATGCAGGTGGCCCACTGTTGGGTGCTTTACTGTCTTCAAATGGCTGATTGATGGCCTATGGAAGATGACAGCCAGTGGGAATGAAGCATACCACGAGGCAGAGGCAGCCTGCACGCATTTGCAGATGGCTCTGGGCTCTCTTCTGAACTTTCTCCTGCAATAACACACCAATGCAGACATGCGTGTAGAGCAAGGGCTTCAGTTAACGCAAAGCTTCTGAAGGAGGCAAACCGTGGGCCTGATAAAGTGTCTGCTAGGGGCTGGGAGCAGCCCTTCTGTTTTATCCCCAGCTATGTTACTGTTGGATTTCTCCAGCCAAAGTCTCCCAATGTCCCTGCCCTGCAACTTGCCCATGTGTCCAGTAATTACAGAGCTGAGACGATCCCTGCCTTGCAGAGGCCTGTCCGACTTGTAACAACCTTCAAGACCCTTGAGGTTCTCCTGTCCTAACCTCACCAGCCATTCACCAGAGCAGAGTAGAAAATAGATGGGGGCTGTGAAACAGCTTCACCTCCAACCTTTTGCACAGTATCCGGTCACACATGCCCCGAGATAACCGCACACTGAGGCATTAAAGCTCTGAGCCCTGCACACATGCTGCCCTTCATAGCTGGGAAGGTGGAGCACAGGGTTCGTGCCCAGCTGTGAGTCTGTAGCTGGAAGATGAAGAGGGCCCAAGCCAGAAGCCGCAGCTCCGCTTCTCAGTAGTGGCCTAGAAAACAGTGAGCTTCCCCTTCCCCAGGACAGGTGATTGCATGTTTGACAGGCAGGTTCATCGCTCATCAGAGTGTGGTAGCGGTGTTGTGGCCATGATTGTCCAGGCCACAATTAGCTTGGTCCTATCTTTTATAGGCAGAGCAATTGGTCCAACAAAAGTTATCGCCATAACAGGGTGAGTAGAAATCATGGAGAAGTCAGGCTGGAAGTGACCTCCAGAGGTGACCTAGTTCAACCTCCCTGCGTGAGGCAGGATGAATTGTCTAGCTGGCAACTTCCTTGGCATGTTTCAAGATCCATCCATGTATTTTCTTTATTGTATGATTGGTTGCCCAGTGGTTATTCCCAAAGCACGCTCCATCAACCTGCTGGCACCCGTGGAGAATCCCAGTGCCCTCAGAGGTGGACGTGTCCACTTGACACATGGATCACTCACCTGGGTAGATCTGTAGCAATGCCGACTTACCGGAGGTTTTTCTCTAAGGAAAAAAAGAGCAGACTAATTTTATCACATGCGTTCTCACCGCTCGATTTTTTTTTTTTTTTTTTTTTTTTTTT